GGTGGTCGGCGGCCCCGGCCCGCATCCAGGTGTCCTCAGAGTTCCGGGCAGGGAGTGGGGGGGTGGGGAGCGGGACGGAGAACTTCTCCAGGCTGGGACAGGTTTTAGGAGTGGGAAGGTGGAGGGGCGCTGCCAAGAGGAGGCGGCAAACGTGAGAGGAAGATTTCATTTATGATCTGAAAACGGGTTGTCTCATAGAGCAAAGAAGGAAAGGGGATTTAGGCATGCAGCAGGAGGGGTGAAGGCTAGACACGGAGAGAGACTTGTCCTGGAGAGGAAAACACTAGGGCAAAGGTGAAAACTTGGAGGGGAGGGGTGCGGTCCCGGCGCCGACAGTTCCCTCGGCCGACAGGGAGGGCGAATTGGAGATCTTAAAGGGTCTCCAGAGGCCAGAGCCTCTCTCTTGAAGTGCGGATGGGAGTGGGTGGAGGGCTCCGGGAGAGAGGACCATCTGGGTCTCAGCAGACGGAGTGTTGGGGGTGGGGAGCCGATAATGCTTGTGAAATAGATTTCTCTTTCTGCTTGCTAAACTATGGGTCTGGGAAAGCAGGTGAAAGGCCTTCGAGGGGAGAATGCTGGGGGATGAAGAGGGAAACTCCTGGTGGGGTGGCTTGTTTACAGATGGGGTTGGTTTCCAGTTCCACTACTGGCAGGATCATGAAAATGATCTGCTGTAACTGAAGGGATGGAGGTTAGACTCGGTGAAGAACTTACCGCGTTGGTGTAGGACCAGATGTCAATCAATACCAGTGAGTGAGGCAGATAGGATATTCTTAGGAGCTGGTGGCACCCTGCCAGGGCCTGGGGGTCATTGGATGGAGGGAGAAGAGATGCTGTGGCCCTGGGGTGGGGCAGGGCTGGATGCATCACTGGGGGAAGAGAAGGACTGGAGGTAGGGAGGAGAAGGGACAGGGAGTTCTGGGGGAGGGGCTGGGCCAGGGCCAGGGCAAGAGAGCTGTTTCTTGGGGCGCCTGGGTGGCTCAGTCGTTAAGCGTCCGCCTTCGGCTCAGGTCGTGGTCCCAGGGTCCTGGGATCGAGCCCCGCATCGGGCTCCCTGCTCGGGGGGGGGGGAAGCCTGCTTCTCCCTCTCCCACTCCCCCTGCTTGTGTTCTCTCTCTCGCTGTTTCTCTCTGTCAAATAAATAAATAAAATATTTAAAAAAAAAAAAAAAAGAGATCTGTTTCTTTAGCTTGAAGACCGGCACCTGGCAAGTTCCATACAGATTAATGCCTGGTTCTCTGGGGTCCCTATGATCACCCTCTCCTCTAAGGGCTCAGCCTCAACTCTTAGTTGCCTCCTCTCTTGGGCAGCCCTTCCCTGACCTGGATTTCACGGCTCCTTCCCCTTTTTCCTCCCAAAATAACCTCCCCTGTCCTCCCCGCTAGCCAAATTTCTTTACACGTGCCAGGCCCAGCTCGGTTTTCCCAGGGCAAGCCTGGGGTTATAGGGACCCAGTGGGCCAGCCAGACCTCCATTTGCATGTTAACTGACCCCATTTTGCTGTCACCTGGACTCTAGGAATGACCTCCTACACTCAGTCTGCACTCATAGGGTCCCTTTGCATTCTTTTTAAAAACTTTTTTCCTCCAGTTTTATTGAAAAATAAGCGACATACGTCACTGTATAAATTTAAGGCATACATACAGCACCATGGTTTGACTTACATATATTGTGACATGATGACCACAATAGGTTCAGCTAACATTCATCTTCTCATAAGATACAATAAAAAAGAAAAAGAAAGAAAGAAGAGAAAAAGGAAAAAATTCTCTTTGTGATGAGAACTCAGGAGTTACTTTGTTAACAACTTTCCTGGTGTCTCATAGAGCGGTGTTAGCTCTGGTCATCATGTGGTACATGACATCCCCAGCACTTATTCATCTTAAATCTGGAGTTTGTACCTTTTGACCACCTTCCTCCATTTCCCGGTCCCCCTCCCCTCTGCCTCTGATAACTGCAAATCTGATCTCCTTTTCTAGGAGTTTGACTTTTGTTTTAGATTCCACATATAAGTGAGATCATACAGTATTTGTCTTTGTCTGATTTATTTCACTTAGCATAATGCTTTCGAGGTCCATCCATGTTTCCTTCCCACTCGCCCACCTCCTAACCACACATACACAGAACAGGGTCCAAAGTATCCTCTAAATAAGTGACTTGCACATCCCTTACCCCATTCCACGAGGACCCTGGAACTTGAAGCCAGCATTATCACACCCTTGGATCTCTGGGGCTTCAAAATCTCCTACTGAGGCTCAGTTTCCTCATTTGTAAAATGGGAGAAGAGTCCCTCCCTGATAGGGTTGAGTATCATATGAGGTAAGTGCCTGGCACATAGAACACCCTCGATTAATCCATGGCTGCCGATGTTACTGTCTTGTCATCTCCTAGCAGGGCAGCAGTGAGGGGAGTCGTCTCTCCAGGCTCTCATCAGGAGAACCTTCACCCCACCCCGGTCATCCAGTTTGCCTGGGCCTCTTTCATATTCCCCCTTTCCCCTCAGACTTTGGTCTGGCCATGGAGATTCCTCCCAAAGTCCTACACCCACCCTTCATGTTGCTTCCTCAAGCTCCAGATTCTCCGAACCCCTTGCCCTGAAAGCTACAGGTAAGGAGAGGGGCCCAGGTTGCTCAGGCTTTGGAGAGATGGCTGATGGGGGGGCTGTGTGGGAAGAAGGGTCCCGGAGCAGCCAGTGCTGGGGTGGAGGCAGAGGAAGAGAGAGCAGGGAGAGGGAGGAGAGAGCTCTGGGTACGGGTTCGGGCTTGCTTCAAGAGCAGGAGGCTGGGTGCAGGTGGGCGAAGTGTTTGCGGGTAGCGCGGAGGTGGAGTGTGGCCAGCTGCAGCCTCTGGGGCTGGGGTCTCAGCGTGGGCTAGAACGGGGCTGTCTGTGTGTCGTGTTTTGACCTTTATTCATGCCCGGAGCTGGCTGAGTGGCTGTGAGTGTGTGTTGAGCTTGTGGGGGGAAGAAGGCAGGCGTTGCTCACACACTGGGCTGGGGAGGCATGGAGGGCCTGCCACCTGCTCTTGGGGGCCCCTGGTTGGAGGTGGAGCCTGCTTGCAGGTGTCTGCGGGAGGTATGCTCGCGTGTGCAGGCAGGCGTTGCCATCCCTGCCGCAGCCGCAGCCGCTGTTCCGCGCAGTGCACTTCTGGCTCCATGAAATATTTAAGGCTACAGGGATGTGACTCGGTGACGCAGTCACTTAGCCTTAGTGCGCCCCCCCCTCCACTGGACTCTGGGTTAATGGGGCTGCTCTTTTCGTTCTCAGCACGTTCTGCTTTTATTTAGCTGTCCTCCTTACCCCCACTAACCTTCTCATGCATTAATTCACTAATCCTCGCAACCCACCAGGAGGGAGGCACGTATTAGGATCTTTATTTTACTTCTCACGGGTGGGGTCATGGAGCGAGCTGATGCTGGGATGGGCCGCTTGGGTTGGCATTTGGGAGGTTAGAGGTCAGTTCCTCCCTCTGCGGCCAACTCTCTGGGCCAGGTGGTGGGCCATCACTACCTCCCTGCCCCCGAACGCACACTGGTCTCTGTTTTCTCATCTGTAAAATGAGGGGGACCGGGTGACGGCGTGGGTTTCTTCCCATTCTAAAATGTCGTCATCCTGAGTTAAGGGTGCTCCAGCCACATCCTGGGAAGTCTCAGACCCAGAGGCAGGGACCGTACCTCTATCTTTGCATTTCTCCCCACCTGGCCGTTGTGGCAGGGGTCAGCTCCCACTTGTTGGATACATGACGCTTGCATACTTTTTCACACACTTAGCTCTGACGAGGTGAGGCTTGAGGCTGATTTACACACCCAAAGGAGCAACGACCCCATCCAAGTGGTCCCCCTGGGAAGCCATATGTTCACACCAGTTTGCTGCGGTTTCTCAAACATTTCTGGAAACTCTTTTGGAACATCTCAGAGCTTGTGACATATGCTCTGAAAATCCTCACTGTGGAGTAAATCTTTGCCCTTCGGACTGGCTTTGCTCTTCTGGAAATGACTGGGAGTCTTTAGGGGGTCACACCTTGTGAAGAAGGAGGGAAGCCAGCTGGGGAGCAGAACTTGACCTGGAACTGAGGTGCGGGTACCCTGTAGTGAGGTCGTGTGCCCCCTGCGGCTCCGACGCCCATCCAGAAGACCTCTCCGCGAGAGAAGTTTCCAGAGCTTCTTGTGGGCCCGAGCAGCACCATTGGAGCGGATATGTGGCCTCTCAGGGGATGACTTGAAAGATCCCGCCTCCCTTCACTGTGTATGTCCTGGTTTGCCCGTGAAAAAGCCCATCGTTGCAACTCTGCCAAGCTTGGGGACACCCCCCCACCCCGGCAGCTGGCACTCTCGGGAATGGAGCCATGCTGGTGATTCAAACACAGGGGCTGCTCACTTCCAAAGGGCTTTGTGTCTTCTGGAAGCACACACTGGTAGAGGTGGAAGAAACTTGAAGATCAATCCATCCTCCTCGAACTGGAGAGGAGAAACGGAGGCCAAGAGAGAGGAAGCAGCTCTTCCAAGGACTAGAACCCACGCCAACACTTTTCCCGAGAAGCCAGATTTGGTGGCTTTGGCAGGGCAGTGGCTGAGCCTGAAACAGGGGCATGGACCAGATGACCTCTTGAGATGCATTTTAACCCTATGATCATCATCAGTCCAGAAGAGCCAATCCTTAGCTAGCCCCTTCTACCCC